TATCTAACGGTGAAAATCTAGTCAGTGTACGGTCATCCAGATCTGAAATGTGCCTTGCTTTCTGTATCCAGTTAGACATCTAGTGATTATAGAACCTATAATTTTTGAGTTGTTATTGTTCAAAGGGATTCCCACGTGGTTGTCGTAGGAAGACTTCTCTCATTTCTTGTAAACTAGAATGTTCAGCCAAACTCGGATGCAACTATCTCTAATTCTAATGCTGTAGCTAGTATCTCTAGTTAGCAATTTTGTACTTTCAGGTTCCATCGTTTTCATGCGTTTCAGGTGTGAAATAGTGTTGAATAACCGAGATTTAAAACTATTCAGGTTTAGGCTAGGTTTCTGGGAACTAAAGCATGACTGTAAACCGTTTGAACTGCTTTTCAAAGCGTTCCGCCCAAATTTCTAGATATCCTACCTAGAAGATCATTAAGTCTCATCCTTTTCGGTCATAGTGTCACTGGTCATCATTTTCCTCATGCCAATGTTTTCAGGAAGCCTAAACAACTGCTGAGTACTATCTAGGACCGAGGCATTCCAAGACGCTTATACGTTTTTGGTTCCATTAGCGAAGATTTCCTTTGCAAGTTACTGTTCAGCGTTTGCTTGAAATATACATATGCCTAAGACAGAAATCTTGAGAAAATAAAAGCGTTTTGTAAGTGGTATCTTAACTGTGACAATATGTATGTGGGTTGATATACTACAACCAGTAGGGACATATTTGTATATAATTGTTTCTAACAGATGTTTTAATTTTTTGGTTTGCCGAAAAATACCTTACATTTAGTCTGAGTGCGATATTTTTATGATTCTTTTGTTCTTCATTGTTTTGAAGTTCGCAGAAAAACTCTTTCCAAAGATATTCTGGTCTCAGATGAGTTTGGAAAAAATCTTTGGTGTTCTTGTAATACTTGTGCATGTTTTTCCTCTAAACTATTTAATGAAAGAAATGATTTACTAGACTTGAAGCTAAACAAACGGGATTATGTGTGGTAGTCCTTGTAGCTGTAAAATCCTGACTACAAATCAAAGACCTCATTGTTTACCATCGGTTATCACTCTGCATGAAATATATTTAAAGTTTACTTTGGTTATGTAACTTCCTGTGCAATATACCCAGTACATTATTTTATGGATATAGCCTGGTATTACCAACGATGAGTGTATCTCATGATCTACCATCTTGTGTTTTGTTGTCGTCAAAGCTTTTAATAAGCTCTTGTGCACTTATTCTCATTTATAGTATATTTGATGCTGTTTCGCAACTTAATTTAGCTGCGAACATCAGTTGATGTTTAAGTATTTAAATTCTATCAGCAATCTGACATTCTAACAAATTTAAGATTCATTTACCAACCTGCACCCCCTCAGCCGCTTTGTTGTGGTCTTACTATAGGGTTACCGACTGCAGTATCTTTATTTGACTTGTATCTGTCCGGTTGTAATCACTGCAATGGCGTAGGAACGTCGTTTCCTTGTAGCATATAGATAAGGAGCTCAGTTAATGAATAACGTGTTGGTTAAGTTACAATCATTGTGATTTAAAAGCGTTGATAATGATGAGAGGGCTATCAGTGAATTGAAAGTGCTGACTGGGGAACCATGATGAGAATAAAATGTTTTATTATCGTCAATGCGAATAAGTTTTCTCAGTGTCCTATTAAAACTTCGCTTTTGTCAAATGATTACGAATATGAAGCTGCTGACGTAGTCTAGTGTTGAAGCGTGATAGATGAAAAGAAACTTGACAGTGCAGAACATGATTCACTGGTGCACCAAACTAAGTAAACATGCACAGAAAATTAGTGAGTAGAAGGAGGAATGAAATTCGCTGGAGATATCATAATGGAGTTTAGTTCATATCATGTAAGATATCTAACCACAGCTTTTTGCGATAGCATTAAACCTTTAGGGTTTACATTTGCTATTAGCAAGTGCTGATTCCATGGATTATCACTATATCTCAGTTTGACCACTTTGGTACTTTTTCGTTTTTCTCTCGTTCTAGTCGACTTCAGATGTGAAAACTGTCCATTTCCACTGAGTAGTCAGCAGTATGGAGACACACCGTCACGATGCGCTGAGATGTTAGTTAGATGGCAGGAAGTTGCTTATACGCATTGTTGGCACGAAACGTAGGCCCAGGGCTTTCTGCCGATTGCATTCATCTAATTCATAATATGAAAATTGTGTTGAGCTAGTATCCAAAGGTGTAAAACTTTTATGCATTTAAAGCCTACTTTACACTGAATGGACTGGGATTTGACATTAGAATTAGAATTATATTTACTCTGTTAAACTGTATTGTGTTTAGGTATCCTTACTTTCTTTTCAATTCTTTCTTCGCCTTAGCACTGGTGGTGTTTAAATCAAATAACTATTGGATATGTACAAGACATGATTTCTCCACTCTATGTAGGCTTGCTTTCAGTAATATATTTTTGTTGAACATTAAAAACTAATCACTAATACTTCTGGTATTCATATTACATAAACAATATTATGTTGGTAGTAGTAAGTGCTAAACTCTAGTGTTGTTTGACTTTTTCTTGTTATGACGACCGCTATCCATAGTTGTTGAACGTGGCAGGGGTTTGATTCTGCACTTTTTCATGAAAATATCGACAATACTGAAGGCATCACAAGTTTGGTGATATCAATGAGTTCCTTCTTATTTCCACCAAAATCTCATTAAACGTCCTTCACTTATTATTATTACTATTACCGTAGTTTTTAAATGATCTGGATATATCAGTAGAAGTCTAAAAATCGAAATGCACAACCTGCACGTTCATGCAATAGGCCATGAGCCACACCACTTGTGTAATGGTTAATAATACTACCTGCCTACCCAGACCTCGGTAAGTGGAACGGTTTTCAAACTTGCAACCCACTAATTGAAGGTCGAGTATCTAGACGGATGAATGATAGCTTCAAGTATTGAAAACTTTTAGTGTTGTATGTATGAAGTTAAATAGTGTGTATAAATGCCCTATCATTGGATTTCGAAAATGGCACTTCATGTAATACTACCTTATACTTGTCATATATCATGGAAAGTTGAATAACTAGGGTCGCTTTGTCGGTATTTAGCACTGCAGATTTCTACTCAACCTTCACAAGGCAGTGGGTATGAACTTTATATCCACATAGGTTTTCTGTCAGTTTTGGTTGTCGCTCCTCAATTTAAAGATCAGTATGGCAACCGAGTCTTTATCAGTCTTACAAACCATCAGTCTGTTGATCTCTTTCTAATTTAGGTTACGATGAAGTCATATTGCTGACTAGCTAATGCAACGAAAACAGGAAAACATATTTATTTTTTTAACATGGTAGCTTGGCAAAATAAAACTCAGTGGGCCTGGGATGCACTTGTTATCTTGCTAGCAGTTGGGTTTCATAGCTTAGTCAATAGAATATGTGATCCACAAAGGAAAAGCTCGTGGTCTGGTTTTTTTTTCTCTCACCAGGTTTTCTTTCAACTTCACTCAAAGTATATTAAATTGAAATTAATAAATATATCTGCAATGCGTAGGCTCATTTGTTTGAAGTTTGGGAGTAATATTGAGGATCTATCCAATTCGTAATTCGTTTTAACTGTTACATAAACTTAGTTCGTTAGAAGCTTGCTTTTTTTGTCAGCTTTTAAATACGTGGTAATATTAATGTGCGGACAAATACTGAACTAGTGGTGTGTCTTCAAAAACCATTTGCCTTTTTCCTTATAATATTTTATCATTCTTGCCAGATGCCCACCATTGGTGCTAAACTAGGGTATTTCTAGATGCCACACCTATGATCAATCTACTGAATCTTTTGTGTGTGAAAAACAATTATCTTTACCGCTGCAGCTAATATCCGTATACTACGTGGATTATTGGTAAGGTGTCTGGATAAGTAGTGGTTACTGGAACAAATCGTTGCATGAATGAATATGTGACATTCATTGCTTTTGTCATTACCTTAACAATGTGTATTCGATGGTGTAAGTAGTTATCTTCTACAATTGGGTAGATATACACCGAGTCTTTCGGGAGTGATTGCGATCACATTCAGTCAAACTGTAAGCTGTTCCCCCGTATTTGATGTCTAAATGAGTGCTCAGTCATGTCTTATCCCTCGTTGTGGTAATTATCGATATTATTTTCGTTAGTGCCGTAAAGAAAACTTTAACTTAAGCCTTTGTAGCACTCTTTCACAATAATTAAACAATTCTTTTTGATGTCATTATTTATCAGGTTTCTTTTCTATAGGTTTTGGTTCGACCCTCTATAAGTCCATAAGTGGTCACTGTTGACGAATTTTATGTTGAGTATCTTCTGATTTTAGTGGATCCGTTGTTCACTTATTTAACCACTGGACTACCAATTGATTTATGAGTCAACCCCCCTTTAGCTTAAACAGTTAGGTCACATAACAAATCGTCACTAGCTAAGTGTGTCTCATAGTGTAGTACAGAAGTCTGTGCGATTTTGCATAAATTATCGTACTCATTATTTATGCATGACTAGTGATTTCAATCGTGAGTTTTCAGTGAACCGGGTTTGAACCATTTCAACTGTTTTTACCGGTTCATATCTATCAAGGATAAAATTATGACAATGGCGTTTGATTTATTATTTTTTTATCCCCTACCTTTCACAAACATTGGTAAAAACCATTTCTCGATTTAATTACCACCGATTTTTTAACGCATTATATCTGTGTATATTGACTGAATTCGAGTAACGTGACTGCTGATAGTGAATACTGTCTACTAAAAAGACATTTATCAATTGTGGGACCGTTGTTATTGTCAGTCTTTATTATGACCTTATTAGGACAATTCACGATAGGAGACTTTGGTGCAAACATTTCATATGTTCTTGCATGAGATGTATTTTTAAGTAGCTAAGTTGATTGTTATGTACTCGAAAAGCGTTACGTCAGAGTGTATAAATGCACCAACGAACTATGATTCTTTTCATGTTTATTTTTCCTCTCCTTTATTTTTTACAGTCTGTTATGAATCAACTGCATAAATGTTTTCTTGTCGTTGTTGTTGTTGTTACCGCTGTCAATAACTGAATACATTTGCATTATGAGGACACCATCGACAGTTGTGAAGAAACCAAGAAATCAATGTAAGTTTCTGATAGAAATAAGAATTGTATTTTATTAATTGTCTGTGTTATATATGGCGGTATTTTGAAGTAATTCGTTATACAAACAATAAAAGAACATGATTATGGCAACAAAAGTTTTCTTGTTTACGAGTTATCTTTATATATATTTATATTTATAGAAAAAAAACAGAATCTTTTAGAGTTGTTTTCAGAGAATGATCAAATTTCAGCCGGTAAACAAAATGGTTTGTATGGTATATAGGGGACAATGCATGATGCAAAGTATTAATTCATAATTAGAAAACAAAGACATAAAACTTCCTGCTAACTTTCCTGCGAATCAGAATGGGCTAAGCTAATCGACTTTTTGTCCCATTGATGAAAAAACAAACAAAAGAGGGTGAAACATTATTATTACGTATGAGGATTGTCCGTAATGAAACTAATGTCAGAAATCTTTATCAAGAGTATGTGTGTAATTCACGCTTTATTTGTATAGTTAGTTGTACTACATCTAGGGTTGTAGGGGATAGTTCAAAACATGTTGGGGTAGCTTATTCCTCGGGTTTTTCTTCAAAATGAATGTGCACTTTAATTCTGTCATCTTATTATATACTCATATGCAAAATATCACTAGTTATCCTCCACAGACATTTGTATGACTAAATGTTATAGTGAATAAATAATATTTTGACGAAATGCCTGTTACTATTATAACACACTTTACTTTTATGTCATCCTTTTATTCTTCTTATTATTATTATTATTAGTCCCTTGGGTTCCTAGTGGAACATAGGGCTTCAGTAGCACGCCTCCAGTGACCTCTGTTCTCTGAGATCTTTTGAACCTGGTTCCACGACAGCCCACAGCCTCTCATTTCCTCCTCGCATGACCTCCTCCATGTCACCCTCGGACGTCCAACTCGTCGCTTCCCATGGGGATTCCACTCGAGGGCCTGACGCGTGATGTCCTCAGTCGGCCTTCTCAGTGCATGGCCAATCCATCTCCACTTCTTCCTGCATATTTGTTGCGTGATAGGTTCTTGGTTGGTTCGTTCCCAGAGTTCCTTGTTGCTTATTTTTTCTGGCCATCTGATCTTCAGCAGCGAGCGTAAGCAGTTGTTGATGAATGTCTGTAGTTTATTGGAAATGCCTTTCGTGACGCGCCAAGTCTCTGAGCCATACAAGAGCACTGACTTGACGTTGGTGTTGAAAATCCGTATCTTGTTCCGCATGCTGAGTGCAGAAGATCTCCACACTGGTTTCAGGCTAATGAACGCCTGTCTTGCTTTTCCGATTCTGACTTTGACGTCCTCGTCCGTCCCGCCTGTAGTTGAAACAGTGCTTCCTAGATAAGTGAAGGAGGTTACTTCCTTCAAGTTTCTCCCGTTGACGGTGATTGGAGTTTGTTGTTGTTGTTGATGGTGGTGGTGCGGTATCTTCATCACTTCTGTCTTCTCTATATTCACCTGAAGTCCCGTCTTAGCTGCCTCTTCTGTCAACTTGTTAGTTTTTGCCTGCAGATCTTCAAGTTTATGTGACATTAGGCATAAGTCATCGGCGAAATCCAAGTCTTCTAGGTTCTTTTCCGTCGTCCAGTGTATCCCCCTCTTCTCGCTGCCTACTGTTTGCTGCATGATCCAGTCCACCACAATAGGAATATCATGGGGGATAGTAGGCAACCTTGTTTCACTCCTGTCTTCACTTCAAAGGCATCACTGAGCTTCCCATTGTGGATTACTTGGCATGTGGCATCTTCATATAGTTGTTGAATGAGGCGGATAAAGGTTTGCGGTACTCCGTAGTATTGAAGCAGTTTCCAAATTACTTCTCGGTCGACGCTGTCAAAGGCCTTCTCAAAGTCGATGAAGTTGAGGTATAGAGCTGATTGCCATTCTACGCTCTGTTCTATGATGATACGAAGCGTTGCAATTTGGTCAGCACATGATTTGTACTTCCTGAAGCCTGCCTGTTCCGGTCGCAGTTTTGAATCCAGTGCGTCTTTAAGCCTCTCCAGGATGATGCGGCTTAATATTTTACTTGGGGTGGACAGGAGAGTGATTCCGCGCCAGTTCTTGCAAGCACTGAGGTCTCCCTTCTTCGGCAGTTTGACAAGGTAACCCTTCTTCCAATCGTCAGGTACCTTCTCTTCCTTCCACACCTTCTGCAATAGTGGTGTGAGCATGTCCGCTGTTGTCTCTGCATCTGTTCTCAGTGCTTCTGGCGGTATTCCATCTGGTCCTGCTGCTTTCCCGCATTTCAGTAGCTTTATGGCGTTCAGGACTTCCATTTTCGTTGGGGGATTTATGTTCACTTGTAATTCAGCGGCTGCAGGTGGTATTTCTGGACGAAGTGCAGGTGGTGGTCGATTCAAGAGCTTCTTGAAGTGGTCGGCCCATCGTTTCCTCTGTTTCTCTTCTTTTGTAATTAAATTTCCTTCTTCATCTTTTATTGGTTTCATCTGTGTTGGTCTCTTCCCTGATAGCAACCTGGTTATTTGATACAATGTCGTCAGGTCTCTCTTACCTGCAGCCTGTTCTGCTTCACTTGCCAGTGTTCGTAGAAGTGTCTTTTGTCTTTGCGTGCACTCTTCTTCACTTCTTTATCCAGTGTTTTATACATTGTGCTCAGTTCCTCTTGTCGTTGAGCATCCTTGCACTGGTTTATCTTCTGCTTCACCATCCTCCTCTCCTCTATCAGCTTCCAGGTATCCGTCGAGATCCATTCCTTGTCTTCTTTCTTCTTCCTTCCTAATACTGTTGTGCAGGTTTCTTTCCACATAGCTTTCAAAGACTTCCAGTGTTCTTCTACACAGGTTTCTTCAGGGATGTCCCTCGACGTCTCCCATTTTGTCTTGATGGCTGCCGTGAAGATCTCCTTTGTAGTTTCATCCTTCAGTTTCCGAGTGTTGTACTTGAATTGAGGTCTATCACCAGCTTCCTTGAAGGCTTTTAACTTGATTTGGAAGGTTCCTTGCACTAGATAGTGGTCTGAACCTACATCTGCTCCTCTTCTTGACCTTGTGTTAAGTAGACTGCGTCTCCATTTTCTTGAGATTGAGATAAAGTCGATTTGATTTTTAGTGTGTCCATCTGGTGAAGTCCATGTCGCTTTGTGGATATCCTTGTGCCTGAACACACTGCCTCCAATCACCAAATCGTTGAATGCGCAGAATTCTGCAAACAATTCTCCATTCTCATTCATTTCACCTAGCGCCTCTCGACCCATGGTTAGTTCTCTTCCCGTGTTGTCCCCTCCCAGTTTGGCATTCATGTCGCCCATTAGAATTTTGATATCGCCAACTGACGTCTTGTCCAGTGTTGACTGAAGTTGTCTGTAGAATTCCTCCTTTTTCTCTTGCTCTGCATTATTTGTAGGTGCATAACATTGTATGATTGTGACCTTTCTTCCTTTTGAGTTGAATCTTGCTGTCATGATCCTGGAGGAGATTGGTTCCCACTGCATGAGAGCCTTCGATGCTCTTGAGGACATCATGATAGCCACTCCCTCAGTGTGCTCGTGGTTGGCGTCTGGGTGACAATATCGGAGTAGATTATTGATTCTCCAGTTGACAGTTTGGAGAGTCCACTCCCATTCCATCTGCTTTCGCAAATCCCAAGCACTTCGATGTTATACCTTCTCATCTCCTTTGCAATCTGGGCTGCCTTACTGGGTTCAAACATCGTGCGGACATTCCATGTCCCCATCCTTACTTTCGCTTTCATCGAGAGAAGACACATCGGCCAATTGGCTTCCCGAAGGCTTTCACCAACTGGCGTCATTTCGCCTCTCCGATTCCAGCGGGGAATAAGTTTGTTTTCATTTTTTATATTTTGTTTGTGCTTTGAAGTTTCTTTAGCGGTTAGATTTGTTTTACTGGGTAGGGTTGCTAGCCCTATGCCCAACCTTCCCTCTTTACCCGGGCTTAGGACCGGCTAGTAACTAGTAAACTAGTTAACCAGGCGAGGTTCTTTTATTCTTATATTTTATCCCAATTGTTAACTAGTTTCCACATGTGTATGAAATCATTATTAAGTTACTTTGTAAACTGTTCTCATCTTTTGGATTTTAAATCACTGACTACAAAGTTGTCAGTTTGAATTTCATTGTTTTGTGATATCTGCTAACGTTTATGTTCATTTATGAATCCAGTTCTGTCTATCTTGAATTAGGCACCTAAATTTCAACTGACAGGTCATAAATTTATATGTTACTCCACGTGCTTCATCCTGGACAACTGAGTAGTATCATAAGCCCTTGACATCGAAAATATGACTAGTAGTCTGGTAAATGAACTTATACCAGATAGAAAAGTTGCATTATATATTATTATATTACATTAATATATTTTCAGTTTAAACATTTTTTACATTATGAACACTGAGATTGACATCCTCTCTCCTGGTGCAGTAATGAAGGATACCGGCAACCTAAGTAAACTCACTGTTGTGCAAGGAATTTTTTTGCGGTCAGTTTGTTGGACTGAATGATAATATCCGAGTTCTTGTTTTATAATTTCAGTTTTCATTTATAACAATACCTGCTACAGATTTAATAAATAAGTACAGTAAAACCTGTCATATGTTCATGTACTAAACTATGAACCTTACCTCTTATGTTAGTGCTCATAATACTTTGATGGTGTTGTGTTCTCTGAGCGGGATGGTGTAATCATGAACCTTTCATTGTCATTCTAGACACCATCATCGACACAAATCGAAATAGGCTTAGCTGGATAATCGGTATCTGTATTTGTGTAAGTAAATGTTTCACCCAAACTATCAACTCTTCTTCGTATTTAATAAAGAAAACTCTGTAAGTTTATCACTTACATTTCGTTCAAATTTCCTAATTTTGTTCTTTTTTTGTTTAATATTAAAGCATAGGTGTTTAGGTTTGTTTTCATGTGCCGACTGCTTTTGATTCTTTTTTGACATTTTCTATAAACTTTGTATAAAATACCGTTGTACTTCATCTAGATTCTTTTTACTTTCTCTATATAGATAATTTATGTTTATT